GTAACTAAGACAGGTCCTCTGGAAAAGCAGCAAGCACTCTTAACCCCTGAGCCATTTCCCCAGTCCTCAATACGAATTGTGAAATGCCACTGATAATAAGAAAGTTCCCGAATGTATATATCTAGTCCAGATGTTTTCTTTATGAATGTAACAATTTTACATTTTGATCATACACTTGAAATATCTATTGTACTAAACAGACATGTCAAATCTTTAAACTTCTTTTTAAGTTTCTCATTAGATACAAAATGTTTGATCATATTCACCCCCTCAACTCTCCCCAGATCCACCCTCTTCTCTATCAACCCAACTTTGTGTCCTTTAAAAAAACAAAAACAAACAAACAAAAAAAACCCTTCAAGACCGACTCGTGCTGCTCAAAGTTTTCTTGAGTGTGTGCTCTTCTACTGGAGCACGGCTAGCTTACCAGGGACTACCCTCCTAGAGAAAAACTTCCTTTCTCAGTAGATTGCCAATCGGTCCACCACTAGGCATGGACTGTGCACCTAAGTCCTTCCTCCATGATGGGACTTGGTCTGGCTTGGGCTTGCACAGGATTTCTACACGGTGTCACATGCCTTCTGTGCGTTCATATGTGCAGCCGTCCTGCTGTGTCCTTGTAGTTTGCTGCTTCTGGCTCTTACACTCATTCTACCTCCTCTTCTGCAATGATCCCCAAGCCTGGGAAGAAGGGGTGCAATCTATGACTATATCATCTACATACCTTTACCTATACCTTTAACTATACGTACACCTATATCTAATTTTAAATAACAGCGTTCTGGATTTTTAATCATTGATATAAAGGTATGACTTCTCCAGGAGGTTTAGGAAGGGGGATTCTATAATTTTGGGAGTACATGATAAGTGTAGGTCAAGAAACATTGTGGCAGCCAGCCTCCAGGAATGTAGTCGATGATCCCAAACCCCTTAGTCATTCCTACTTTTGTTTGTCCTTTCCCACAGTAAATGTGGCTCCCCATGTGACTAACAGAATTAACAGATGTGATACTGAACTACTTCAGAGGTGTGATCATTGAAGACACAGCTGATCTCACTTGTGATTTTGTGTGTGTGTTGGGGGGAGGGATGAGTTTGCTCTTGGAGAAGCCAGTTGACCTGACACCAGGCCCTTCTGCCTTCCATCCCTGCCTCCTCTTCTCCAGAGAACTCCAGCCCCATGGAGAAGCACACTTAACAAGGAGCAGAGGCTCTTGTCAATGGCTAATGCCTGTTAAGCACTCCTAGAATTATGTTATTTTGGAGCAAATTTCCAGATGATTGTGGCTCTAACTAGTACTTGAACTGAAATACTGTGCTGTGTGTGCATGTATGCGTGTGTTCTGCCCAAAGCGTTGCCTTTCAGAAGTCTTACAGTGACCAGTAACACGCCTCTGATCTCATCAACCGCTCGGCCCTCCCTCATTTGTGTTGACCGTACTCAGCTCCTTAGCTCTGAAGCAACAGCTTCTATCTCCCACCCCAACTCTCTGGAGCTTTATTGCTTGCCACCATCTGACATGGTGCTTAGGATGAACAGTCTCAAAGGTCCCCAGTGGGCTGACCAAACCCTGTCACATCTGTATCTTGCTCTGAAGGATGCCCTTCCCAATCTCGCTTCTGCCTCCCCCTCACACTACTGTGCTGGCGATCTAAGTCAGGGCCTCATGTATGCTAGGCAGGTGCTATGACACATAGCCATGTTCCTAACCTTTTATTCTTATTTTTTTAATGAGCATACTCCCCAGTAATCTTCTATATTCCTGACCTTATCTCAGTGTCTGCTTCCCCAGAGACCAAAACAAACCCAAGTACTGTAATGTAAGCCCTTGGCATACATTAACTAATCTAAATGTGTGGCTTTTTTTTTTTCAGAGTTAAAAAAAAAAATCTAAAATCCCAGTAGCATGAAAGTTAATTAATTCTTGCTTTTATTAGAAATATCGTTCTTGGTTCTTAATCTTAAATCATTTTAAAGCAACTTTTTTTTTCCTCTTTTTGAAAAGGAAAAAAAAAAAAAAGACCCCAAACCATTGCTGGGCCCTCTTGCCTTTTGTTTCTGTCTTCATACTGCCCATTTCTAGTCAAGCTGACCCCATTTTCTCCCTGGACCTTGTGCAGTCTGACTTCCATCCAAGGTTCTGCTCTCTCAGTAACCTGCTCTGCTCGCCACTGTCTTTGCTCTCTCCCAGCTCTATATCCAGCTATCATTTCTTCATTTTTTTCCCCACCTTTTCCCCTTAAATCCTTGCCAGGATCTTCCCAAAGATACACTGCTTTGCCTTCCTCCCTACTATCTCTGAGCACTTTCTCCAGTGGATTCATCCATTGTCATGGCCTCTGTTAGTACGTGCAGAAAGGAACTTGGGGAGGCCACGGAGGAATGCTGCTTAATGGCTTGCTCCCCCTGTGTCTTAGCTATTTTTCTATTGCTGTGGCAAAGCACCATAACCGAGGCAACTTCTAAAAGAAAGAATTTATTTGGGGGGCTTGTTTACAGTCTCAGAGAGTGAGTCCATGACCACCATGTCCGGGAGCACAGCAGTAGGCAGGCAGACACGGTTCTAGAGCAGTAGCTGGGAGAGAGGGGAAGGGACCGAAGGGGATGGGCTGAGCCTGCCTGCACGGGCTTTTGAGATCTCAGAGCTCATTGCTAATGACATACCTTCTCAGCAAGGCTACACCTCCTAATCCTTTCCAAAGAGTTTTATCAATTGAGGTCAAAGTATTCAACTGCATGAGCCTATGGGGTCCATTCTAACCCAAACCGCCACACTCTGGCTTGTTCAGTCAGTGACCCCCTCCTACATAACCTAGTGCCAACCACCTACCCAGGGGTGGCACTGCCCTCAGGGGGCTGGGCCCTCCCATTTAATCGTCAATCAAGAAAATGCCTCTCAGACTTGCTCATGGGTCAGTCTGATGAAAACAATTTCTCACCCAAAGTTTCCTCTTCCAGTGACTCTAGCGTCTGTAAAGTTGACAAGGGGGAAAAAATAAGTACAGTGAGAAAAATATTTACAATCTACCCGACTACCTTTCTTACTAGACAAAGGAGCATTTCAAATTGATTCAAACATCCTAAAATAGTAAAATAGAAGCAAAAAGGGAAACGATATGAATTCACACTGTATAGGAAATATATATAATAAGTAAAACGAATGGCGGAGCAACCAGAAACTGACATAAGAAAAGAAAGAATTTGGACTCTAACATCATACTTTGTATAAAAAAATCGACAAAATTAAAAAAAATCTATATTATGTGAGAGTTGAGCCGATAAAACACAAGAAAGCGATGTGTTTGTGACTTCGGACAGGCAAAGCTCTGACATCAAAAGCATAGCAACCACCTAGAAAAGTCAGGGGCACTGTACTCTACCAAAAAGTAAAAACCTTTCTGCATCAAAGGATGTTAGTAAGAAAGTGAACAGAGAACTAACTGAAGGGAAAAAAAAATCACAAGTCTGCCAAGGCCTTGGTATACAGAACACGGAGAATGCTTGCAACTTAACAGCAAAAGACAAGACAATGTTCAAATCGACCAAACATTTTGATATCTATGCTTCAAAGAAGAACAGTGGCTAATAAGAACATGAAAAGCTGCCAAAATTGACTAGCTGTTGGAGAATGCAAACAAAAACTGCACTGGGGTAACCACATGCACGCAGATGCTACTAATTTTTAAGAAGAAAAACAAGCATCAGGGGAATGTGCAGGGTTATAATCTCATATCACTGAGGCAAAGCCAGCCGGGCAGTCTCTGTGGAAAGCAGTCACGGTGCCTCGAAACAGCAAATGTGAAATTACCACATGGCCCAGCAGTTTTACCCTTCCAGAGACTCAGATGCAGGGAATGTAGTTCGGGCTGTAGAGTGCTTGCCTAGCAGAACCGTATCTCTGGATTCTATCCCCAGCATTCAGGAGGTAGAAGCAAGTCAATCAGACGTTCAAGGCCACCCTCAGCTATATAAGGAGCCAGCTTAGACACCAGAGACCCTGCCACAAACAAACATGGTCTCACGTCATTATTCAGAGCAAGGGCGGGCATAGAAAGCCCTTATATTTACAGAGGACTGAGAACTGTAATAATCTGTGGGTATAGACATGTGCCCATTGAAAGCACAGTTTGGTAGTATGTTCATTTAGCAAAGCAACAGTATATACAGTAGATTATTCACCTACAAGAGTAACAAAGTCTTGAAAGATGTTTCAGATGGATGAAAATATGCAAAGCAGAAGACTTTCATAAGGGTCACGTGTTATTTGATTCTAGTTATTGAAAACATCTGTATTTGTGGTTGCCAGGGACTCGTATGTGGATCTAGGGTGGGGATGGTGACTGCTAATGCACAAGATATTTCTTGTTGGGGTGTAGTTTTGGTTATAGCACTGCTATCAGGACTTAACCACTGGCCACAGCTCCACAGCCACACAAGGAAAAATCAGCTACCACAAAATAAGGCAAGCTTACGTGAAAAAAAAAAAAATGTCCACAATATGTTTTTAATGTATCACAATTACAAATATATGTAACACCAAATGATATGTATGTACATATATTTTATAGATATTATATTTAAAGTATGTTAAAGAAAAGCCTTTAAAACCCTGAGAACAAAGTTCCCTAGAACTCACTATGCTACCCTGGATTTGATTTCTCTTTTTCAGTTTTGTTTAACATGTGTTCCTCGTGTACTAATTTACAAAATATGTTCCTTCCTGTATCTGCTAAGAGTGTGCATCATTTTGAACCTAAGGAGAAAAAGGTGGATGTTGGAAGGAAGAGAGCTGTGTTGGTGAACCGGAATCCTGCCACTCAGAAGCTGACGCTGCCTGTGAGGAATGAGCCGTGGCTGGCAGCACAGGGCATCACTGACTTCATGGCCACAGTGGCTTTCTGGGCACACCTCACTGAATCTGAGCTGTGTACTTTTCTGTGGCCCCTGGAGAGCAGGCTCCTATTTTGTCAGTGGCTCTGTCCCCAGGAACCAGCTCAGGCATTGCACAGGCAATAGTTGTTTCCTTTCCTTACAGAGTACAGTGACTATGTGTATGGACTAAATTTAAATTGCCATGCTCTGGAGAGAGGGGGCTTCTCAGTGTCCTCTCTTTCTCTACAAAATGGCTGACTATATCACCTCTGATGTTTGACACTATGTTACGTGTGGTAAAACCACTTGTAAGGATTTTTATCCCCCATCCTTTAATGCTAAATGCATCTGTGTCTTCCCAAATTGACGGAGTAAGTAGTGATTTCTTCTCTAATATGGTGACAGATGTGGTGCTGCTGTTAATTACACAGTTAAAACCTGAAATAAAATTGATCTCCTCTTAAACTATAATTAATTTTCTATACGTTTTGGTTTGCTCACAAGTTTAAGCATGGGTAATTTCACCTCTCTAATTAAAAACAAAGCGAAAAGCCAATAGTTGTTTGTAATTGGTCTCTGCTACTCTGTGGGTTCTTTTTCCCACCCCTTAGCCCTACCCCCGCCCACCAGGTTTTACCCCCTAACTTTAGATGGGAGAGAAACCGAGAGAGGGGGGAGAGAGGAATTAGGAAAATCCCTGAATCTATTTTTTTTTCCCTTTTATTTCTTCTTCGACCACAGCTACTAACAAACCACAACCAACCTCCCTAAACAACCAACAACCCAAGTCTGTCTCTCTGGCCCTTACATTTATGTACCCTCTGAGAAGTTCCCAGAATTCCAAATGTCACACAATCACGGAAATTATCTGCAGCTGGCAAAACTGCTAGAGCAGGAGGTAAACCATAGTCGGCTGCTGAGAACAGTTCCTAACAGCTCCACAGCCCTACACCTGGGACGAAAACGAAAGCACATTCTTTTGTTTGTTTGTTTGTTTGTTTTTAAAAGAAATCAAAATTCCAGAATTCTCAAAAATGTAGCTACAGTTGTTTTCTAATCTGAAGTGAAGCTGAGACAGAAAAGGGCAAAAACCTCTTTTCTTTCTTTCTTTTTGGTTTTGGTGGGGAAATGTCAACAGGGTGAAGTGGGATGTTGACTAAACATGGACATTATTATTATTACTATTATTATTATTATTATTATTATTACTATTATTATAGGCAGCTTCCTCACCGGTTATCTCATGCTGGCCACAGACTGCTGGGATCGCGTACTTGTGCCACTACGAGGATCTAGCCGCAAGTCTTTTAGCTAGGATGGGATCTAGACACACCATACACAGGTACTGAAATATCACACTTGGTTCTGTTGCTCTCCTTGTGGAGCTCCTGTCCCCTCCAGGTCTTTCTATCTCCTTTTTCTTTCATAAGATTCTCTGCACTCAGCCCTCCCCTATCAGTGGACTGGGGGAGGGGCATGGGAGGAGAAAAGGAAGGGAGGGAGGGAGGGTGGGATTGGAGAGGACGAGGGAGGGGGATACAGCCCGGATACAAAGTGAATGAGCCGTAATAAATTAAAAAATAAATTAAAAAAAAATCGCACATTGCCCTGCAAATATGTACAATCACTGTCTCAAAGAATAACTAACCTAAATGGGTACCTAAGACCCAAGAGTGATGGAAGGAAAAGAATATTAGCCACCAGGAATACTGCCTTGTCTCCAGAGGCCAGCCACACCTCTAGACTACAGAGTGACAATACAGGCTGTCCGGAATTAGGGAAGGTACAAGCAGCCTCTGTTCTCCAGTCACAGTGGCTTTTAAAAAGAAAGCCAAGAATGGTTTGCTCTATTTTAATACTTAGTTGAGCGGGATCAAGAGGTAACTGTTGGCCACTGTCACACGCCTCAGCTGGCTGCGGCATGGCTGCATGGGGCAGATGGTCCAGGCACCGGGAAATGCCAGACTCACGGTTTCAGGCCAGGCAGGACTTGCAATTGCTTTAAATTCTTTCTTTTCTCTGAATTCTGCTCAGTTCAAACAAAATCGACACATCACACATCCAGACAGGCAGGGAGCGATCTGAGAGTTCCTGTTGAGGCAGGCAATCCTGTCAGGCTGTCCATCACAGGTCCTGTGTGTGTATGTGTGGGGGGGGGGCAGTGTTTGTGAGTGTGTGCATATATGCACATGTGTTGTAGGTTGAATATAAAATAGGATGGTGTCTTTTTGTGTGTGTGTGTGTTTGTGTGTGTTTTCAAGACGAGTTTTCTCTGTGTAGCCTTGGCTGTCCTGGTACTCACTCTGCAGGCCTCAAACTCAGAGATCCACCTGCCTCTGCCTCCCTCGTGCAGAGATGAAAGGCATCAGCCACCGCTGCGTGGCAGTGCTTTCCTTATGTTCATAGTCTAGAGTCCAAAAGACATCAGCCTCATGTTGATACTCACAAATCACGGTTCACAGCAAACCCAAGGCCTGTGGAGCGTAAGACCTGCAAGTGAAGAATGGCTTTCATCTGTAAGTGTTAGGGAAAGGATCCGAAAGATCCAGAGATGAAAACATGTGATGTCCAACTTCCGTGTCTACGTGACGGTATTGGAATCTGACCACTCCCACGTGTTTCCTTATTGTCTGCGGCCACTTGAGCAGGTTTGGGTACAGACAGTTACTCTATGGCTCACAAGCTCACATTACCATCTTTCTGAAAAACTTCAGTAAGCCCTGCTCTAGAAGAATTGTGTGTGTGCATGTGTGTGTATGTGCTCATGGGGAGGGAGCATGTTCACATGTGTGCATTTGTGTGTGGAAGCCAGAGGTCAGTCTTCAGTATAGTTCATCTAAGAGTCCATCTACCTTTTCTGACCCCAGGCCTCTCTTTGGGCTGACCGGAAGTTGTCGAGTAGGTAAGGCTGGCTGGCTCGTGGTCCCCCAGAATCGCCTGTCTGTACCTTGGCAGCCTTGGGATGACAAGGGCTGGACACCACGCTTGGCTTTTTGCATGGATTCTGGGGATTTGAATTGAGATCCCCGTCTTTGCCAACTGAACCCTCCCCCCATCCTAGAGAAATTGTTTCTCATGATGCATTTTCTCATCTGCACATCATCGGAGTGTATGTTTACACTGATTTGTTGAACGCCTGGGGAAAAGAGGTATGTGGCAATGCCACGGGCTCTACCGCAGCTCCCACACACTGTAGAACCCATGCTGCTCCTCTGGCCTCTGTGCCTTCTACCCTGGAGCTCCCTGCCCAGTCATTCTGGGACCCCTGGAACAGCTTTTCCTGACCACCTGTGGTGGGATGCACTGTCCTTGGTTCTTAGTCAAGGCACAGGGATGCAGGTAAGTTTTCTTGCCTTGGATGTAAAGACAAGCTTCTGAGAAACATCTTTCATGCTGCAGGTCCCTTGTGGAGTCAGGCTGATAGTCTCTTCTGTAGGTTTTGCCTGAATCACACCAGTCCTGTTTCCCTTCCTCTGGGTACTCTTTGCCTCATTCCCTTTAAACCTTAAGGTAAGAACTAGGCTGGTGGCCAGCAAGCTCCCCCTGTTTCTGTACCTGACACTGTTGGAGTTGCAGATGCATATGGCCACGCCAGGCTTTTTATGTGGGTGCTAGGGATTTGAACTCAGGGCCTCATGCTTACAACCAGATCCACGTGTTTATCCACTGAGCCATCTGATCAGCCCTTGCAAAACTATTTTTAATTTTATCTGTTCATTGGGATTGTCATCTTAGTGACAAGGTATGAAAACCCTCATCCTTCAGATTCTAGAAGGTGAACACAATTATCTTAAAGTTAGAAGCAATGTGTCATATTATTTTCACTCAGATTTATAATCTCCAGGAGTTAAATGATAATACAAACCCACAACATTTTCTTTAAAAAACAATTTTCTACAACAAAGTTACTTTTATTTTTTTCTTTAAATTTTATAATAATAATCATGGTCATTTTGAATGTTTTAAATAATACATGAAACGTCAAGGAAAAGATAAAAATAGCTCAAAATTCTACCATTCACATCATAAACCAGTGGCTCTCAACCTTCTTAATGCTGCGACATTTTGACATAGTTCCCCATGTTCTGGTGACCACCCCCCCCCTCCAAAACCATAACTGTAATTTTGCGACTGCCATGAATTGTAATTTAAATATCTGACATGCAGGCTACCTAATATGCAATCCCAAAGGGATTTCAATGCACAGTCAGGGAACCACTGTGTAAACATTTTAACCGTTCCTGCCTGTTTTCCAACCCTTTATGAGTCAAGGAGTGAGCCTGATTGCCACAAAGTTGTCAGGTCCCAAAATCAAACTAAACTCACTATTTAATTGAATTTGTTTTTTAATTGTAAAGCCAGGCTTGTCTTTGGCTGTGATAACGGTTGAGTCCTCATGTTCATATACAAAGCCTCAATTGTTTAAAATCATTTTAAGATCTTTGAGGGCTCAAGATGACATCCTTAACATAATTAACTGAGTGACACACTAGTTTAATTAATAAAGCAATGAAGAAAAGCCAGCAGCTGGCTTCAAGTGGGGATGATGTGGCAGTTGACCTCTAAGACACTGAGCTGGTAGGAGTCTGAGCATATCTGTGGCAGACAAAATAGAAACAGTTTTGTTATGGCAACTTTCTAAATGATATGAATGACTTGTTTCCAATTTTTAGCATCTTCTTTCCAAACTTTGTGAACTTTGTGTCAAAATTATGCATTTTTCTAGCACCTGCAAAAATTAGAGCAAATTCAGATGTTATTTCCTTCTTGTGATTTGAATCGTTCCTTAATAATAAGCCAAGGAAGTTTGTCCTTGCAGTTCTGTCCCACCTTCCTTCGAATGTGCCACTAGCCAGCGTGCGGAGCAGGCTGTTTAGATTTCCTGTTTTGTAAGGAGCCCAGCAGTGAACTTCCCTGCCCCTCTCCACGGTGACTGTCGAATTGCTTTCTGGAAAGGCTGCATTAATTCCCTATTCTTTGCGGTGTGGAAGTTTGCCAAACTCTCACAAACACAGACTTCTATGAAGCTTCTAAATATTTGCAGATCCTGCAATTGAAAAAAAAAAAAAAAAAAGAATTGTATCTAAACAAAGTAAATGGTTTTTAAAGTAACACTTTGCTTTATTTATTGTGCATGTGGGCATGCATGCGCCTCCACACAGGCGACAGCACGCATGTGATCATTAGGTGATAACTCGCAGGAGTTGCTCCATCTTCCTGCCATGTGATTCCCAGGAATTGAACTCATCAACAAGTGACTGCAACCAC